ATCGATTCTTCTCTGGTCTTCCTTATTCATTGTCCAAATTTCCCACGCATGTGAGGAAACCTTAGTTTTCAAAGTGACATTTTTGCTCTTTAACACAGCAAATTTGCCTAATGCAATATGCCGTTTGATTGTAGCAAGTAGCTATTCATTTACAAACATGTGAATGTAGTTATTTTATTACTAGTTTTTAACTGAGTTGCAGTCAGTTAAAAATGAACAGAAAGCAATGAGAGACACTGCTTTTAAACTTCATTCAGCATATGGTCAACTTTCTAAATGTTCCTTGAGTTCATGAAAAGAAAAGATATACTCTAGTTGTTGAATGCAGAGTTCTGAATTAACTAGTCAGGTTTACCTTTACCAATCATGTCAAATATTCTACCCTCGACATTTTATCATTTGTTTGATTACTTCATGAGAGGTGTATTAAAATCTCCTACTTTAATTATATATTTAACTATTTTTACTCACAGTCCATCATCTTTTATTACATGATTTATATTTATATTATTAGGTATATAATTTTTAAAGTTTTATATATGCCTTGGCATTTTTTTCAATTTATAAGTGAAGTGTGTTTCTTTATTTCCAGTAATGCTTTTGCCTGAAAACTCGTTTTTTTCTGCTTTTAATAGTCACACCAGCTTTCTCTGATTCATGTTCACATGTCACATCCTCTTCCATTCTCTTCCATTTATTCTTTTCACTTCCTTAGTTTTTAGATGGGTCTCCTATAAGCAACATAGGTTTTATTTATTTTTATTATAGCATGACTATCATTGTTTTTTGGTTTTTTAATTTTTATTGTGAATTGAGTGAAGGCCACACACAAGGCCATCTGTTTGACACTCTGTTTCATCTCAACAACTATGATCTCTTCCAGGCAACAGCAGTCATCTGGTTTCCTCCTGTGGCTCTTAGTTCCACTCTACCTACCTCTGCATCCTTTCTCATCTCACCTTTGTCCTTAGGTACACGCCACTCCCCCTAACCCCGACGCTAAATGATTGACCATTCCATCATTTGAGTGAGCATACCTTGCTAGTGGTGTCATTCCCCCCATATACCTGTTTACTGGTTGACTGAAAGTTCAGTCATTGTATTTTAATGGAAGCATGTAGTCCATTTATATTTAATGTTATTATCGATACTTGTTATCATTATTGAGAGCTGTCAAGTTCATTCTGACTGTTAGTTACCCTGTATAGTGTTTCTGAGGTTTTAAATCTTTGTTGGGAGTAGAAAGCCTCATCTTTCTCCTGTGGAGCAGCTGGTAGACTTGCTCCACCAACTTGATAATTTGCAATCCAATGCTTAATTGTATTGAGCCACGGTACTCCCAATTATTGGTATATTGGGGTTTAAGTGAATAAGGAAGAATGAATAAAATCATCTCAAAGTCAACAAGTTCATCCAATGCTGACCTCCCGGTTCCCCTGTGAACATGTACCCCCTATGGTTTCCCTATCTTCACTCACAACAAAATGCATTCTTTAAGTTTCTCAGCCCAAAACTTTGACCTAATTTCTTATGTTTTTTTCCCTTCTCATGCCCTATGTGTCACCAAGTCCTGTCAGCTCTGCATTCATAGTTCACAGTTGAACACTGCCGTTGGTATCCTATTCTTCCACAATGCACAATCTGTACCAGAGTGTGCACACCTGTGTGACAGCACTGTGTCTAGCCACTTCCCAACACTTTCTGCATCCAGGCCTTTGCACTCATTTTCCCTCTGCCTGGAATATGTGTCCCCTTCACTGCCTCTGGCCTGCTGCCTTATTACCGCCATGTGTCAGGTACAAGTCAGAGGGGATCACTAGATCTGTCATAGCTTTCAGATCTTGTTGTCTACATGCTATCTATTGTGGATTAAATTGTGCCCTTCCCCAAATATGTTTTCTAAATCTTCACCTTGTACTGTGGTTATAATCCCACTTAAGAATTCATTTTCTAGGTTAGGTTAAGTGGCCATACCATTGTAGGCCATGTTTTAAGCCAATTATTCTTTGAGATACAAGAAGAGCAGAGTTGGCACAGAGAAGCAGGCAGAGCTGAAGGTGGATACATGTCATACCACATAAAGGTTACTAGCGAGCCAAGGACCAGAAAATGAAAAGAGAATTTCCCCCAGAGCCAGCAGAAAGTGAAAGCAAGGACTTCTTGGATCAACTGTCAACACTCACGGAAGCAGCAGTGAAAAAATCAAATGACATATTGCATTAGGCAAATCTGCTGCACAAAACCTTTATAAAGTGTTGAAGAGCAAAGATGTCAGCTTGAGGACTAAGGTGTGCCTGACGTAAGCCATGTATTTTCAATAACCTCATATGCATGCGAAAGCTGGACAGTGAATAAGGAAGACCGTAGGAAAATTGGTGCCTTTGAGTTATGGTGTTGGAGGAGAATATTGAAAGTGCCATGGACTGCCAGAAGAACAAACAGAGCTGTGTTGGAAGAAGTACAGCCAGAGTGCTCCTTGGAGGCCAGGATGGCCAAACTTCGTCTCTCATACTTCGGACATATTGCCTGGAGAGACCAGTAACTGGAGAAGGATATCATATTTGTTAAGGTGGAGGGTCAGAGAAAAAGAGGATGACCCCCCCGAGAGAGATGGAATGGCAAAATGGCAGCATCAACAGGGTCAAGCGTGGCAACAATTGTGAGGTTGGCATTCTGTTGTGCATAGGGTCGCTATGAGTCAGTACAGACTCGATGGCACCTAACAACAACAACAACTGCTAGAGCTGGCACCCTGAATTCAGACTTCTAAACTGCAAATTGTTAGACTATAAATTTCTGTTTGTTAAAACCACCAAAAACAAATCAAAGGATGTACTTCATTGGGCAAATCTGTTGCAAATGATTTCTTTAAAGTGTTAAAGACTTCACTTTGAGAACTAAGGTGTGCCTGACCAAAGCCAAGGTATTGTCAATAGTCTTATATATATGTGAAAGCTGGACAATGAATAAGAAAGACCTGGGAAGAATTGGTGCATTTGAATTACAGTGTAGGCTACGAATATTGAAAGTACTATGGACTACCAGAAGAACCAAAAAATCTGTGTTGGAAGAAGTACAACCAGAATGCTCCTTGCAAGTAAGATGGCAAAGCTTCACCTCTCCTTTTTTTTTTGGACATGTTGTCATGAGGTACCAGTTCCTGGAAAAGGACATCATGCTTGGTAAAACTGAGTGTCAGCAAAACAGAGGAAGACCTTCAATGAGATATATAAACCCAGGGTTAAAACAATGCGCTTAAACATAGCAACTGTGGATGGCACAGAGCCAGGTAGCTTTTCATCCTGTTGTACTCAGGGTTGCTGAGTCAGAACTGACTCAAAGGTACCTAACAACAGCAAATATAGCCTTATGGAGGATCCAGCAATCATGCTCCTGGTTTCTACCCAAATGAGTTTGATGTCCACATAAAAACCTGCACACAAGTATTTATGGCATCTTTACACAGAGTTACCAAAAACTGAAAGCAATCAAGATGTTCTTCAATAGCCAGATGTGTTACATGTATACAACAGAACATTATTTAGCAATGTATAGAAGTTAGCTATCAAGTAACTAACAGATAAGAAGGAATCTTAAATGCATATTGTTAAGTGAAAAAAGCCAATCTGAAAAGCTACACACTATATGATCTCAAAGACAGGACATTTTGGAAAAGGCGAACTATAAAATGACAAAGCTGGGTGACTGCCGGACTTGAGCAGCTGTTCAGTTCAGTTCAGGTGAATAAGTCAAGTGCAGGGCATTTTAAGGCCAGTGGAAAAAATTCTGCAGGAGACTTTAGTGGCATTAGACATTTGTCAAAACTCAGAACCCAACATGATGAAGTTGTTGTTGTTGTTAAGTACCGTGGAGTCGGTTCCGACTCATAGTGACCCTGCAAAGGGTTTCTGAGGCTGTAAATCTCTACGGGAGCAGAATGCCTCATCTTTCTCCCGCGGAACAGCTGGTAGGTTCGAACTGCTGACCTTATTGTTGGAAGATCAACTCATAACCACTATGCTACCAGAGCTCCTTTATGATGAAGTAATTTACTCTAATGTAAACTATGGAGTCCTGGTGTGGCGCTGAGGGCTAATGCATCAGATTGCAAAGTCATTTGAACTGCAAGGTCAGTGGTTCAAGTTCACCAGCTGCTCCTTGGAAACCCTACACAGGGTCGCTATGAGTCGGAACCAACTCGACGACAGCACTTAACAACAACAACAACAATGTAAACTATGCATTCCAAATGATTCCTAAAAAGAATGTATCAATTCTGTTCAACTGTAACATAAGCAGCAAATTAATGCATGCTGTAAATGCTAATGGAAACTCAGGAGGTGGAGGGTGGGGTGGGGGAAGAGAAGCTATAAGGGAGCTCTTTTGCTTTCATTTTTCCATTTTTCCATAAACCTAAAACTGCTCTAAGGAGCCCTAGTGGTGCAATGGTTAAACACTCGCCTGCTAACCAGAAGGTCAGTGGTTTCAATCCATCAGACATCCACTGGGAGAAATAATACGGTGATCTACTCCTATACAGATTTCAGCCTAGGAAACCCTAGAAAGTTCCACTAGGTCCCACAGAGCGTCTATGAGTTTAGAATCAACTCCTCGGCACTTAACAACAACAAAGCTTCTCAAAAAAATTAAGTCAATTATCAATAAATAACTGATTGGTTAATTTATCAGTTTATATGACTTTGCTTATAGCTCTAAATGCCAGTTATAATCTCTGTGCAAGCAAATTTGAAAAATAGAGTTCAAATATTAACATCCTCTATCAATGAGTTTAAAAAAAGTAGTATCAACCAGTGATCGTTGTGGCATGGTTTCCCTGACCGAGACGGTCATCGTGGGAGGTGGTGGCCGATGGCCTGACAATGAGTCTGTGCTTCGGCTCCCACATACCCACCCACACTCGCCTCCATGTCTTTTGAGACCTAGAAATGCTAGAGAGAAACAAGCCTTTACCTCCGGGCATTGTGATCAGTAAGACTTACCTTAATCTTTAAAGTGAGTGTATACCACTTTTGTGCTGTCACATCAACATGCCCTAAACGATATATGATCCATCCAGCTGCAAAACAAAAAGAATTACTCAAATTGAGATTTGTTGTGTTTTTTAATCTAAGTCACAGAACCACATAACTCCCTGGTGAATGTCTACAGCAGTCAGTCCTAAAAATGACCCCCAAACCCCTGTCTAGTGGATTTCTACTCATAATGACCCTACACAGAGCTTCCAAGGCTGTGAATCTTTACAGGAGCAGATAAGCTGGTGGGTTTGAACCACTGGCCTTGTGGTTAGCAACCCGATGCCCAACTATAATGGCACGTCCCTTTACTGCCAGACAGTCAACAGCATGACCCGTGCACTACAGGTGAGCTTGCAACAGAACTGGTGAGAGAAACACACAAACCAACCACAGTACAACGCTTTCATATCTACCACTAGCAACATTCTTGAAGAGTCGCTTTTCCTTAAGGTATTTCTGAAGCATTTTCTCCCAGCCACTACCACCTGCCCTAGGTCAATGTAAATTCCGCCCACACAACCCAGTTTAGCGCTACAATCCTCTAAGAAGCTTTGTACAATTATTTTAGCTTTCTCTGGTAGCGTAGTGGTTACGAATCGGGCTGCAAACCGAAAGGTCAGTAGTTTGAAACTACCAGCTGTTCCGCAGGAGAAAGATGAGGCTTTCTGCTCCTGTAAAGATTCACAGCCTCGGAAACCCTGTTCAGTGGATTGCTATGGGTCGGAATCGACTCGACGGCACTTAACAACAACAAGCTCTTCTACACCCAAAACAAACCCACTGCCACGAAGTTGACTCCAACTCACAGTGAAACAACAACAGGGTTTCCAAGACTAAATCTGTACAGGAACAGAAAGCCGCCTTGCCCCCACTGAGTGGCTGGTGAATTCGAACTGGTGACCTTGCAGTTAGCAGCCCAACATGTAACCCTCTAACTACCCTACCAGGGCTCCAAAGAGTTGACTCTTCATTTTTAGATCTTTCTTCTAGAATTTTAGTCTTTTTAGGTTTGAATATAAAAAATGGCTGCTTCTCTTTACTCATGAAAATTATTCAGACCAATTATATAAGTCTGCCCTCTTGAACTGCTTGGTATTTGCTCTGCATGTGTTGATTCTCTTCTTCATTGTATGTCCAAATGCCCCAAGGCTGAGTTCTTTTGTTGCTCTCAGAAGCTATAAACAGATGTTCTTAATAACAGATAAATTAGTAAACCCTCAGTTACCATCGTGGGGTTAAGTGCTATAGAAGTAGTCACTTACCTATATCACCTGTAACTTTGTAGGTTCCATTTGCAAAAATCCAAAAGAAAACTCCTCTGGCACTTCTAATCAAAATCCCACCTTTATCGACTCTTGCGGCAATGAACACACCTCCCCTGTCAGGGGTCTCAATGTAAACATCACATGTTAGAGTCAGATTGCTCCTGCAGAAGGAAAGTGGTAATTAGCACTTTTCAAAGGGAGCCATTCCTAACTCAGCACAGATGTGCCACTTCCCAGCCTCCAGCACCCAAACGTAGGTACAGTGCAATTTGCTCAGTCTGCCCTTGTAGAAAAAGGATGGGCTTCAAGAACGTTCAGGGTAACAGTTTTGTAGCTCAAGCCATATATGATTTAAATCAAGTCATTTCATTGTCTCTTTTAAAGGGTTTCTGGGAAATAATATTTCCTGTTTTTCTTAAGGGTCTGATTCTCATCTCTTTACAATAAAACAATTTCCTACTCTAGGAACAGACTACAAACCCCTTTTACTGTGGACACATGTTGTTGTTGTTGTTAACTGCCATCAAGTCAGTTCCAACTCTGCGTGACTCTGTATCAGGTTTCCAAAGCTATAAATCTTTGATGGAACAGAAAGCCTCATCTGTCTCCTGCGGAGTGGCTGGTGGGTTGGAACTACCAAACGTGTGATTTGTAGTCCAGTGCTTATTGTACAGAGCTACTGCCTTTCCTTCGGACACATAAAAGGTAAAAAAGTTCCTACACTGTGAATAATTTTCATGTGTAAAGAAAAGCAGCCAATTTTTATATTCAAATTTAAAAAGATTAAGACTGTTTCTATGGGAGGTTCAACTCTGGCAACATGTCAACAATGCTTCTCAAATCGGACGAGCATTGAAATCCCCTGCAGGGCTTGGGTCCCCACCTCGTTTCTGACACAGGTGTTTTAGGCCCGATAATGTTTCTCCAAATCTATTATCGTAGTCCCTAGAACATGTAAATAATGCTTTACATAGCAAAAAAGGGGGTCTCGCAGTTGGGACTCAATGAAAGATTTTAAGGAGAGGGTATTATTCTGGGTTCTCAAATGGGTCTTAATGTACTCGCATGCATTCTTAAGAGGGAGGCTCAGAGAAATTACACACAGACAGGCACAGAGAAAGCAATGTGGCCACAAAGGCAGAGATTAACGTGGCCACAAGCCAAGGAATACTAGCAGCCACCAGAAGATGGAAAAGTTCTCCTCTAGAGCCTGCCAACCTTTGACTTCCACCCAGTAACACTGATTTTGAACTCCTGGCCTCCAAAACTGTAAGAGACTAAATGTGTGTTGCTTTAAGCCACCAAGTTTGTGGACACTTGTCACAGAAGCCATAGAAAACAAATACAGTAGATCTTGACTTCGCGTATCACATAAATTCCTAGGTGATACTGAAACTGCTGCTCCAGGGAGCCCGTTTTGAGAAACATTGGCCTGCAGAGCATCTCCATACAGAGAAACAGTAAGATCCCCAATCGTCAGAGTATATCAAAGCCACCCCCTCCACACACAGAATAGACAGGGATGGGCAACTTGGGCAGTGGCTACCCAAAATGGGGGCAGGGGCCTTCAAAGGCAAGAAGTGACTGGCTTACAAGCTTTCAAGGGGGACCCTAGATCCAGAGGGCATGGAGGAAGATAGTATCTCCACTGAGTAGTATCCAATCTGTCTGAGCGGGGCTGATGAAAGGAAATGCGGATAGGTCTCTTGTGATACAATAGTGAATAATTGTTATCAGGACTGATTGTGAGGGTTGGAAATGTAAAGGTAGACATTTTGTAGCAAGGAGGAGAGTGATTAACTTTTCAGTCTAGGAGCGGAGGTCCCTGGGACCATCAAGGGAGAAGAGCGTAATGCGGGACCCTACCCAGAGAAGCAGTGACACCAGAAATGGAGGCAGAGACGATGACGTGGAGAGATAAAGCGGCTGGGGGACTTTAGACGCAGAGAGGGAGAGGGGCTGTGTGCTGACGACCGGGGAGGGAGGCAGCCTTGCAGGGTATACCCTGTGGTTGGTTGATGATGCATAGAGAGGATTGTAACCATGGCAATGAAACGATAGATGATAAGATGAATGTAAAACTAATGTTCTCCCATGTAAACTTATCACATAATTCCCAATAAAACATTAAAAAAAAAAAGAGTGTATCAAAGGAGACAGAAGATTTGGGTAACCTGGAATAACACACTTTTACCACTCTAAGGAGCTCTGGTAGCGTAATAGTTACAAAGCGGGCTGCAAACCTTAAGCAGTTCGAAACTACCAGCTATTCTGCGGGAAAAAGATGAGGCTTTCTGCTCCCATAAAGATTTACAGCCTCAATAACCGTGTACAGGGTCACTATGGATCGGAATCGACTCAACAGCACTTAACAATAACTTAACAACACCATTCACTCTGCTCCAAGCTACCTTTAAAAATTGCTAACTACAACACTACCCTTTGGTGCTGACTACCTCAAACTCAAGTTGTCTCTGCAGATATTCTACTTCCCACTCAAGGACTGATTGCAACTGAGAAGAGGAAGGCCTGCACCCAGCCTAGTAATAAGGCAAGCAATTCCTTAGTAACGGCGGCCACTAAGAAGTAAGTATATTTTGGAAATGGGAGGGAAATTTGGTCTCAAATTATGTGGCTTTTACATTTCTCAGTTTCTTCTTATCAGTAAATTTTTCACAGTGAAATGATCAAAAGGGCACTATTTAAAAAAAAAAAAAAAAAAAGATATCCTGGTGTGGTACTGTAGGATAAGAACCAGACTGCTAACCACAAGGTCAGCAGTTCAAACCCACCAGCTGCTCCTTGCTATGCAATGGAACCAACTCAGCAGCACTTAACTATAACACCAATGAAACAGGTGCACAATCAGGACATCCACATTTAATCACCTCCTCGGAGCTAGGCTACCTGACTTCGCAGGAAGACCTAGTGCTAAGTGACTGGCCTGGAGTCTCTCTTGTGCCCCCTCCATACCCACTGCTGTCATGTCAACTCTGACTCTCAGCAGCCACACCGCAGAGTCGGCCTGGGGACAAATCACCGGCCTATCAGTTAGCGCCTGCACACTTAACCTCAGCATCACCTGACTCTCAGCAGCCACAGGACAGAGTCGGCCTGGGGTCAAATCACTGACCTATCAGTTAGCACCTGCGCACTTAACCTCTGCATCACCAGCACTCCTTCTAGACAGTCCACCTTTTGGTTAGCCACCGAGTGCCTGCCCAATGCACCACCAGGACTTCACCAACACCGGACGGTTGTGGGGCGTCACCGGCCTGAGCCCAGCTCCTGCCTGGTGCTGCAGATATGGTCGGTCGGCACCCTCAACCTGCTCTGTTCAGAGTTGGAGCAAGAGCTGGTCAACTTGTTGACTTCGATACACAGCACAATTGAGAGTAAGTGACTTCCGCAAGGGAACTTTGCAGCCGTGACTGAAATGGAATGAAAGGGCAGCATCTTCTGCCATAACCACAATCTCTCAGCAGTTCTGAGAGAACAAAATCCAGACAGTATAGTAAACAAACTTGATAAACAGGAAGCAGAATTCAAATGTGTAGAGTGAAAGTCATTTCTGCATTGTGTTCTACTCCCAGCCAAAGCTAATTAATAAAATGGAAATTCTTAAACAGCTTGGATACATCTATACCTTCTAGTCAAATGACTGGGCAGATGCCTCACTAAAGATGAGAAAGGAGTCCCGGGGTGGCTCAGAGAGTTAAGTACTGGACTACTCACTGAAAGTTGGTGGTTCAAATCCAATCAGCTGATTCCAACTCATAGTGACCCTATAAGACCCAGAACGGAACTGCCCTACAGGGATTCCAAAGGTGTAATCTTCACAGACATCATGCTTGGTAAAGTGGAGGGTCAGTAAAAAGCAGACAGTCCCCCAGTGAGATGGACTGACACAGGGCCAGCAGCACTGGGTTCGAACCAAACCCCAACTGTGAGGATGGCCCAGGACCGGGCAGTGTTCCATTCTGTAGTGCGCAGGGCCCGCTGGGAGTCCAAATCGACTTGCCGACATAGGCAACAGCAACCGTCTTCAGAGAAGCAGACGGTCACATCTTTCTCCCACAGAGCGACTGGTGGGTTCGAACATCCAACCTTTTCATTAACAGCTGAGCACTTAACCACTGAGTCACCAGCACTTCTGGATACAGCAGCATTATTGGTGCGGTTGTTGTGAAGTGCCACCGAGTCGGTTCCAACCCATAGCGACCCTCTATAGGGTTGCTGAGGACCGGCTGGTGGGTATGTACCATCAATCATGGAATGAGCAGTCCACTGCTTATCCTATTGTGTCACACCAGCATTAGAGATGAGTGAAACTACTCTTTCCTCTCCCAGTGTTAAGGTAGACGGTGATTCAAAGTCGGCTGTGAGGTATAGTCCAAAGAGCATGAGCTACAGAGCCCTGGTTCTACCACTTCCAAATACGGGGTGGGTCTTGGGCAAATCACTTACCCAGAACTTCCGTTTTCTCATCTATAAAGCAGAAAAATGGAACCTTTCTCACAGGGGGGTTGAGGGAAGCTGGTAAGTGTGTCTAACAATGCCCAGTGTTTATTCCTTCCCTTTCCCACAGAAAGTGGGCATCCCAGCCAGAGAGCAGGGGGTATGTGCATCTATGAACAGAACTAGCCACGTGGAATGAGGAGGAAACACTGAACAACAACAGAAGACAAAGAGGCTGACACAACTTATGCAGGGTCGTGGAAACCAGGCACCGTTGAGTTGGGTTCAGTAACAGTAGAGGCTCTGCAGTTTCCTGAGCAACGGAATAACATGGCCAAAGTCAGCTGTAAGGACGATGAACACACACAGGCCCTCCGGACAAGCCCAAGGACAACTCCGTTTCCTGTTCCTTCAGAATGTGTCTCTCTTTCCCTCTCTCCCCTCACTTATCCCCATTTCCCACTTTCCTGCCTCCTTCCCTGCTGCAGTGGATCCCGCTTAACACTGACTATTGCCATTTGTTGTTGTTGTTGCTATGTGACATTGAGTCAGTTATGACCAATAGGGACCCTGTATAGGGTTTCTGAGGAGCGGCTGGTGAATTTGAAACACCAACTTTCAGTTCAAACTAACCTTGTAGTCCATCATATTATCCAGCGGTGCCATACCAGGACTCCAAATACTGCAAAGTCTTAAACTCTGTAGAGAGTAATGGTTAACTTTGGGGCTGTGCTCTATCTCAGCACTATTATAATGAAGACGGTCCCCAGTTTTGCTGGAGTCCCAAGCAAAAATAAGGGACCTTAGAAAGAATTTGGGAGTATACAAGGTCGGTGGTTCTAGCCCACCAGCTGCTCTGTGGGAGAAAGATAACGCTTTCTGCTCCCACAAAGGTTTAAAGCTTTGGAAACTCTACTTAGGGGGTCACTGTGAGTTGGAGCTGACTCTACGGCACTGAACAATAACAACAAAAGAGAGGACTTAGAGAGCCCTCGACAGTGCTCACGGGCATGGGGACATGGAGTTATGACAGAAAAGCCTTACAGTGGTCAGGGCAAAGATTATAGGGCCCACCCCTGGACACTTACACCCAGCCACTTGTCATTTACAAAAACACCATTAGTCACAAATGGCAACGTCACAAGCCCACAAACACATCAGAAAAATCCTGGTAAAGGGCTTATCACAGCTGATGGGATAAGCAACATGTTTGCTGTGTACTAAGACAACCCCACCCAAGTAATCCTAAATTAGGCAAGAATTCTTCACTTCTTCCCAGTAAGACCTCCCAATAACTCCATGAGATGTTCCAGTAGCGTAGAGGGTTACACATCAGTCTGCTAATCACAAGGTCAGCAGTTCGAATCCACCAGCAGCTCCAAAGGAGAAGATGAGGTTTGCTGCTTCTGTCCATACTTACAGACTTGGACTCCCTATGCGGGACCCCATGAATCAGAACCGACCTGAGAGCACGCAGCAGCAGCAGAGATAACACTCCGTGGTATTAGAGGGGTTCCAGGGACTCTAGAGAACTACAAGTCTCTCAAGGTTTATCCTAGAACCTGAAGTTAGAGTCAGGATACCCAACAAGAGTAAAACACCAAACAAGACATAGCTAGGTGCTACAGCATTCCACAGAGAAGCAAGTCAAGACTCCTCAGATGTACTGTCCCGAACGGGTCCGACTTCTGAGCATCAGACTTGGCTGTTTGTAGGCTCACCATCACTACCGAGCATTCATTACTATCACTAAATCTGGAAGGCTTCTTGTTGTTTCCCCACCCCCAACATACACACAGTAGAATGATACTATTTAAAGAGAAAACTAAAAAAGAAATGCCTAAAACAACTATAGTAAGTCAGCACCCTGGAATTCTATAATGGGCTCAAAGGGGAAGAGGAAGTTTTGTTTTGCTTGTTACACATTTAAATGAAAAGGAACAACAACATTTCTCTTTACCAGCTAGGGAATGAACTTCCAATCAGCAATGGACTGCAAATCACACAAGGTCAGACAGTCAAACCTATCAGCTGCTCCTAAGAAACCCTATACAGGTTGAGGGGAAACTGACTCAAAGGCACTTAACAACAACAGTGCCATCTATTGTCACCTAGTAAACAGATTTTCTACAAAGACAGAGTGTCATTTTAGGACTGATCCAGCAGGTGGCACCATCAGATCAGCAAATGAAGTCTCCAGCCAACCAAACACAATTCGCAAATTGCAAAGTCAAATTAGAAATAAATATTAAATTATAATTGGGTTCCAAGTTCTAAATAAAGCTGCTTCTACAATAATTTCTATTAAACTGGGAATCTTTGAGGGACAGACACGGAGGCAGAAAAAAATAAAAAAGCAATTTGCTGTTTCATAATCACCATGCGGAGTCATGGTGTGGCACTGTAGGATAAGTGTTGGACTACAGCCACAAGGTCGGCAGTTCGTATCCACCAGATACACCTCACATGCCTTATACTGGGTGGCTGTGAGTCGGAACTGACCTGATGGCATTTAACAACAGTCGCCATGAGGGGAGCATGGTCATGGCTCTGTAACAAGCATTGGACTGCAAATCACAAGGTCAGTGGTCCAAGCTCACCAGCCACTCTGGGGGAAAAAGATGAGGCCTTCTGCTCCGGCAAAGATAAGCAGCCTCAGAAACCCTCTACAGGGTCGCTGTGAGTCAAAACCATGTTGGTGGTACTCAACACCACCACTCACCATGACAGTCAATCATTAGGACTTGGAACCAACTCAATGGTACTTAGGTCATCATGGTTGGTAAAGTGGAGGGTTTGTGAAAAGGAAGAAGACCCCCAAGGAGATGGATTGGCACAGTGGCAGCACCAATGGGCTCAAGTGTGCCAACAGTTGTGAGGATAACGTAGCACCGGACAGTGTTTCTCTCTGTTGTTGTTGAGTACCGCCAACATGGTTTCGACTCACAAAGACCCTGTAGAGAGTTTCTGAGGCTGTTTATCTTTGCCGGAGCAGAAGGCCTCATCTTTCTCCCCCAGAGTGGCTGGTGGGCTTGGACTGCTGACCTTGGGATTTGCACTCCAATGCTTGTTACAGAGCCTGGGCTCACCATGAGTTGGAAATGACTCAGCAGCAGCTAACGACAACAACATTAGGTCCTGAGACAAGAAGGACTGTTGAAAACTTTCCCTTCGGAAAGCACCAGACTCCCTTACAAGGCTACTTCTGCCTGACTGAGAGTGAGGGCATCAATCGTACCTACCATTGGTAATCGCCTATAATACTGATGGTGTCGGAGGCATCTGCAGCCCAAGTAATGGGTCGTTGATTCAGAACTTGGCGTAGTGTGAAGCGATGTTCTCCTGGATCATCCCTATTTATAAAGTATTCAAATACACCTGTCTGATCAGCAAAATTCGGAGCTTCGCTAAAAGGCGGGTCATCTGTTCAGAAGACAATACATTTTTCACTTAGTGTCAACTCTTAGAGAATTGTTCCTCACCGATACCTCATGGTGCATTTTGAAACACTTGCGAAAAGTTCTAAAAATTAATACTTACAGCCAGTTAAAAATGAGGGCTTAGGGGTAATCCAGAGACACTAACTTTGATACCATCATTAATAAGGATCAATCTGATGAGTCTGATATGCAGACTTGGCATACTACCTAATCCGTGCATTTGGTTTAGGAGAAAAATGATGAGTTTTGGAGTTCAGCACATGTGTTTTCAAATTCAAGTTCAGTCTGTCACCCTAGGCAAGTTACTCACTGTCCTGAGTCTCGAGTTTCCCATTTCTAATTGAGCAGAGAAAATGGAGAATTGAGCAAGATAAAGTATAGAAAGTATACATACACATTAACATTTAGCGACAGATAAACAACAGATTTGTTACATCTATTATCTGTTAAAGAAGGTTGTAAATCACTCATAGACCACACTCAGACAAACATTAGAAAAGATTTACTATATCAAATACAATTAATGCATTTCTACTTCTAAAATGAAGCAGAAACAAGTTTTGAACCTAAACTACCTGTCAAACCCTTTGTTACTTTAGTAGGTTATAGTCTTATAATGAAGATTATAGGACAAAAATTTTAATTATAACATTTTACAGCTATTTAATACCTTATGTTTTCCCAAGCATTTTCACATTAATTATCTTATTTGAGAAATTAAGAACTTGACTGACTGCCTTTAGAGCCTGGTTCCTTTGAGAAGGACTTAGTGTCTACTTCTAAAAATCCTAGTCAGTGAAAACTTGATGAATAGCTGCTTAACACTGTCTAGTACGATGCCTGAAGAAATCTCTCAGGTTGGAAGGCACTCAAAGTACAATTGGGAAAAAGCTGTCTCCTCAAAATAGAGTTGACCATGCTGACACAAATGGAGTCAAGATTTCAGGACCTTCATTTGCTTATGGGGTATGATTCAAAATGAAGAAACAGCTGTAAACATCCATTAACAGTAAGAACATGGAATGTTACACAGTATAAGTCTAGGAAAATTGGAAGTTGACAAAAATTGAATTGAACGCATAAAGATCAATATCCTAGACATTAGTGAGCTGAAATGGACTGGTATTGGCCATTTCGAATATGACGATCACAAGGTTTACTATGCCAGGAATGACAAATTGAAAAGAAATGGGGCCACATTCATCATCAAAAAGAACATTTAAAGATATCTTGAAGTATAACACTGTCTGTGATAGGATAATATCCATAGGACTACAAAGAAGACCAGTTATTATAACTATTATTCAAATTTACACACCAACCACTAAAGCCAGCAATGATGAAATTGAATTCTATCAACATCTTCAGTCTGAAATTGATCAAAATGTAATCAAGATGTAGTGATCATTAATGGAGAGTGGAATGCAAAGGTTGGAAGCAAAAAGGAAGGCTCTATAGTTGGAAAATATGGCCTTGGTTGTAGAAATGATGGCTGGAGATTGCATGATAGAATTCTGCAAGATGAATGACTTCATCACTGCAAATCCTGCTTTTAAACAACATAAAAAATGACTATAAACATGAACTTCACCAAATGGAATACACTGAAATCAACTTGACTACATCTATGGAAAGAGACAATGGAAAAGCTCCATATCATCAGCCAAAACAAGACTGAGGCAGACTGGGAAACACATCATCAATTACTTTTATCCAAGTTCAGGCTGAGGCTGAAGAAAATTAAAGTTATCCACAAGAGCCAAAATATGACCTTGAACAGATCTCATTTGAATTCAGACATATCATGAACAGATTTGATGAATTAGACACTAATGTCAGAAGACCAGATGAGTTCAAGATAACATCAATAACATCCTAAAGGAAGAAAGCAGGTTATTAAGAAGACAAAAAAGAAAGAAAAAGGCAAAGTAGATGTCAGAATAGACTCTGAAACTTGCTCTCCAGTATAGAGATGCTAAAGCAAAAGGAAGAAATGAGGAGGTACAAGAATTGAACAGAGAATTTCAAAATGCAGCTCGAGAAGACAAAGTCAAATATTATAATGAAATGTGCAAAGACCTGGAGTTAGAAAAACAAAAGGGAAGAACATGCTCAGCATTTCTCAAGCTGAAAGAACTGAAGAAAAAGGTCAAGGCTTGACTTGCAATATTGAAAGATTCTATGGGACTGATGGGTGTCTAAAAGCCACCAGTATCTATCAGACCAGAAAGCCTAGTATTTTTTTTATTATTTTGGGTTTTGTTCCACAGTTTTCTCCCACTTTCTCCAGAACTGCCTACTGTGATCCCTTTCAGAACAGTCAGCTGGGCACCATCTACTTCTTCTGGTCTCAAGGTCATGAAGGCTGGGGTCACATAGTCCATTAGTCCTTTAGATAACTTTCTCATTCATACTGGGGTGTTATGATACCTCATTGTTCTTCTGATTTGCATTTATCCAATGACTAATGACCACAAGCATTTCTTCATGTGTTTGCTGGTCACCTATGGGTATTCTTCAGTGAAGTGTCTGTTCATGTCCTCTATCCTTTTTTTTTTTCCCCAAACTGTCTTTAGTTAAGTCAATAAGAACTGGAAGCCTATTTGCTTAATTACTCTGTTTAATTAGTAAACATCAATTAAGTGTTATATTAGAAAACGTCATACGAAAATAGATATGGTTCTTTAAGAGAGACTAATAATTGCACCTTAAATAGACACAAGCTTTTAAAACCCCTGTTTAACTATTCACCAAAGTAGTATATAAAGAAGACTGTCTATGAGGCCTAAGTTACATCAATTGATTTTGGTGTTCCCCAAGACGATGACCCTGAGTCCCCAAGCCCAGAAACACCCTTGCTCAAGGTGTTTGGTTATGGCTAAGAAGATTCTATAACTTTGCAACCTGCGTGCTCCACTATATTCATGACTATTATTTGCAACACATATAAATACATATGCAGAAATATCCTCTGCCCAACTTACATATACAAATGGTGTACTCCCCTCAACCTTCCAACCTCTGTGGTCTATTGTTATTACTGTTATTGCCTAATTGGGTATGCAACAGCGTTTACCTTTGTCGCATTGAACTCTTGTGCACCTCCCAGTGTCTCCCTTTACCTTCATCTTTCCCTTCACCCAAGTTAATACAGTCTACCATCTCTTCCCTTCCACCCCCAGGTAACCTTCCAAGAATGTCTCTTTAGGTGTGTAAACTTCTTCTTGACATTTTATAATAGACTCTCATACAATATGTGTCCTTTTGTGACCAACTAATTTCATTCAGCATAATGTTCTCTAGTTTCATCCATGTTATGATATGTTTCACAGACTCATTGTTACTTGTTAATGCTGGATAGTATTCCAGGGTGCACGTACCATAGTTTGTTTATGCATTCATCGATTGGTGGGTACTCATTTCCATCTTTTTGCCACTGTGACTACAGCTGTGATAAACATGGGTGAGCATTTATCTGTTCTAACATGGCTTTCATCTATCTATAGTATATACTTAGTAGTAGAATTTTTGGGTCACATGGTATTTCTAGTTCCAATTTTTTAAGGAAATGTCATACCATTTTCCACACTGGTTGCACCATTGTACGGTCCCACCAGAAGTGTATGAGGGTTCCAGTCTCTCCACATCCTCACCAGAATTTGTTATTTTCTGCTCATTTGAACATTGTTATTAATACTTGAAGGAGCTCTGGTAACGTAGTGGTTACAAATCAGGCTGCTAACCTCAAGGTTGGCAGTTCTAAACTACCAGCTGTTCCGCGGGATAAAGATGAGGCTTTCTGCTCCCATAAAGATTTACAGCCTTGGAAACCCTGTACAGGGTCACTATGAGTCGGAACCAACGCTACAGTACTTAACAACAACAACATTAATATTTGGGTGTTATGATATCTCATTGTTCTGATTTGCATTTCACCAATGGCTAACGACTGCAAGAATTTCTTCATATATTTGTCAGCCACCTAAATGTATTTTTTGGCAAAGTGTCTGTTCATGTTCTCTGCCCATTTTGTTTTTTAATTGTCTGTAGTTCAGTCAGTAAGAACTGAAAGCCTACTTGCTTAATTGCCCTTGTTAATTGTTGTTGTTGTTAAGTGCCGTCGAGTCGATTCCGACTCATAGTGACCCTGTACAGGGTTTCCGAGGCTTTAAATCTTTACGGGAGCAGAAAGTCTCATCTTTCTCCCGCAGAACAGCTGGTAGTTTCGAACTGCTGACCTTAAGGTTCGCAGCCCGATTCGTAAGTACTACGCTACCAGAGCTCTTTCCCTTTTTAATTAGTATGTATCGATTAAGTTTTTTGTGAGGAAACTTCAAGAGAAACATAGATATGGTTTATTCCACTTTGGTTGTGTTTTGGGGAGAGGGTGGATTACTGGGTGCATCCATCTTTTAAATAAAGTCACTGTCATGATTTTTTTTCTAAACATTTTATTTTGAATTAGGTGAAGGTTTACAGAGCAGATCAGTCTTCCATTCAATAGTTCAAACAAGTTGTATTTCATGTCACTGACTGCAATCTACATGACTCATCGCACCTCCTCCCTGTGTTTCCTGTTTCCATTCCTCCTTCTTTCCTGAGCCTTCTGAACTTTGTCCTTGGATAAATGCCACCCTTTTGATCTCATATGGTTGATTATTCTAAGGTGGAGAGCTTCCTAGTGTTACTGTCTCCTTATAGATTGTCTGTTGTTTGACTGGAAGGTGAGCCCTGAGAGTGGAATGAGCTCAGTTGCAGACCTGAGGAGTGAGTAAGGGCCATTGTCTCAGGGTTCCACCAGTCCCTATCTAACCAGTAAGTGAGGTCTTTTTTATGATTTTGAGTTTTAGCCTACATTTTCTCCCACTCTACCTAACACCTTCTAATGTGATCCCTTTCAGAGCAGTTGGTGTTGGTAGTCAGGTGCCATCTAGCTCTTCTAGTCTCAGGGTCAGGGAGACTGGTGCTCCTTGGTCCATTTTAAAAATGGACTGTTTGTCTTTTTGTGGTTGAGGTGTTGAAGTTTTATATAAATTTTAGAGATTGCTGTTGCAAAGTGCCATTGAGTCAATTCCAACTCATAGCGGCCCTGTATAGGGTGTCCAAGGAGAAGCTGGTGGACTTGAACTGCCGACCTTGTGGTTCACAGTGCAGTGCTGATTCTACAGCGCCACGCTATGAGTCTCTCCCTATTTATGTTATTGCCGAAAGTGTTTCCCCAATCTTTAGGTTATCTTTTTACTCTTTGGGTGAAGTCTTTTGATGAGCATAAATGTTAACTTTTTTGGAAGAACAAAAATGTCACTTTGAGGACTAAGATATGCCTCACCTAGCCAGGGTATTTTCAAATACTTCATATGCAAGGAAAGTTGGATGATGAATAAAGGTTAGAGTAGAATCAATGCATTTGAATGATGGTGTTGGCAAAAAATATTGAAAGTACCACAGACTGCCAGAGGAGCAAACAAATCTGTCTTGGACAAAGTACAGCCAGGATGGTGAAACCTCATCTCTCATACTTCATGTTACCAAGAGGCACCAGTACCTGGAGAAGGCCATCAGGCTTGGTAAAGTGAAGGATCAGTGAAAAAGGGGGAGACCATAAACAAGACAGAACTATAGCAAAAATAGGCTCAAACATAACAATTATGAGGGAGTACAGGACCAGGCAGGGTTTCATTCTGTTGTGCACATGTTTACTATGAGTCAGTACCAACTCGATCCCACCAAACAATAACAAACAGCATCAAGGAATCTAGAAGGCAAAGGAGAGTCCAGAGGGACATATGTGGCCCACTAATCCTACTAAGTCCCAAGTCCAGAGATATATATTTGTCACACATAATTTTACCACCAAAATCAAGAATAGCTAGTGTGTTCCACATAATCCTACCCTAAGAATCAACAAGGACATATGGGTTTCATACAATGTGTCAAAATACATATTTCATAACAAAATTTCAATATGTTCCTTAATTCTTCCAATAATGAAAATATATGATATCAACAAAAAATTCAAAGCAGGTAGATGCATGGATCGACACCCAAGCTAAACAGGTGTGGGAGAGAATGGGACTATATACAGGAACATATATAGGTTTGACAAGATGTTTTTACATATTTCTATGTATGTTTTTACTTGCGCTGTAAATAAATCCATGGCTATAGTTGAGCATATAGGGGCAAAATTACGAAAACTTCTTAGCCATAACAAACACTTGGAGGAAATGAGTTAATGAACCACGGTCTCAGGGGCTACCACAGTCAACTGACACAACATAGTCCACAAAGGCAAAGTCTACATCCGATTTTTCTAAGTAGTGACTGGGGTCTTAAGACGTTCATGCACAGCCATCTGAGGCACAACAAGTGGTCCTTCCCCAGCTGAAGCAAAGAAGAGTAAAGAAAAACAAAGGTATATGGAACCAATGAGCTCAATGAACTAATGGTCCATGCAACCCTCAGAACAGAAGTAGATGGTCTCCAGATGCCATTCCCAACTCCTCTGAAAGGGATTACATTAGAAGGTCATCGAGTGGAAGGAAAATGTGGAGCAAAATTCAAAATCATAAACAAGACCAGGCTTACTGGCATGCCAAGACTATGGCCCTTGGTCACTCTTCAGGCCTGGAACTGAACTCACACCTGTGGCTTAGTTTTCAGCTAAACAAGAGGCAGATGAGTCTATAAAGGAAAAAAAAGACAGTATGGAGGTCCTCATTCTTCATAATAATCAGCCATTTGAGATCAAAAGGGAAGCATTTACTGGGGGACAAGTTCAAAAGGGTTAGGAAAGGAGGAGGACTGGAAACAGAAAACACTGGGAGGAAATGAGATACGATGTTCCATTGCAGGGATGACACTCAATAACATGAAACAAAATCTGCATGAATTGTTGAGTGGAAAACTGTTGATTTGCTCTATAAACCTTTACCCAATTCACAGTAACACGTTAAAAAAAATTCAAAGCAGAAAATAATTGGACTGTGAAAGGATTAAGGAAAATAAATGTTATCTTTGTCAACAGAGAATTAAACAATAGATGTGCTAAGGCACTTATGGTTGGCAAAATTAAAGACTCATCAAATAGAATTCTTCTAGTCACTGGAAAACAAGCCACTAAGTTCCCCAGAGGGTCCGCATTGATTACGTTGTCCAAATCATTGAAGGGACTCCAGGAACAATCCAATCAACCAAGATCATTTCCTGGGAAGAAGGGCTGAGACCCTGCGGAACACTGGAGAGTCAGAGTGTCCACTATCGGTGGAGCAAAGCACTCTAGAGTAACAGAAGGTTGGAGTCACTGCTTAGCAATGACAGTCTTGCTCCCAAGTACTCTCCACAGCTACAGCTTTTAGCAGCAGATCACAGAACTGCCTGGCCCTGTTTGGGAGGTCCATGATCTTATACACCACCACCTACTAGCTGCCAAGTTTTGTAGCTTACTGAATGATCTAAGAATATGACCACACTGGTATGTCTTCTAACTTCCCAAATGGTTCTCCTAAATTATCTACATCAAAAACTTTTCAAATCGTTTTAAGATGACTATTCATAGGACACCATAGACACAGACCATTCATTCCTAGGCTAGGGGGAAGACAAGCAGAGTATAACTCACCAGAGGCACTCAGGTCAGGAGCACCATGAAAGAAGAGGTGCGCCTCAACTGCCACGGAAACGGAAAACCTCAATAATGGCTTTCAAAAGTCTCAAATCCGAAGTTGCACCAGACACAAGTCAGAATGAAGAATCATATAGCATGTGGCGTTTATTCTTAAAATAAACTACAGCAACAGTAAAACCTATGTTTTTTCTGGTACCACAATATACTGGCTCCTCAAGTTGAGATTTACCATGAGGTAACAAGTAAAGATTTCCTTTTATCATGGAGAGATCATAGCATTCGCATGGTTTGACCCAGGGAAGTCGACTGATGGGGAGATGGAGAGCGAGTGAAATTGTTGTGAACACACAACTCACGGATATTGAAGTTATCCTTGTAGAGAGGTGGAAAGGGCTTGGACTTGGGAGGAAGCGGGTGGCTGCCCTTCTGCCCCGTGGTGAGGGTGGTAAGGGTGAGGAGCTCATCCGTCTCCAGTTCCAGTGTGAAGCGGCCGTTGATGTCAAGGATCTGAAAGAGGAGACAAGGCCAAGTCCTATGGCTCATCTCATTTGAGCAAAATAGTATCGAAAAAAAAATAAGCTTAAAGAAATACAGACTGATTTCTTTAAAAACTACAGAACCATTTGTGAAAGACATGCCCATGTCAAGGCCCTGTGAATCTTTTTCTTAAGATTTTAGAAAACTTTATAAAACCATAGTTTTTAGATGAATTTTTAAAGAATCTCGCTTCAAGAGGGAAGGTGGTGGTGATGTGCCGTGGAGTTGGTTCCGACTCATAGTGTCCCTGCCTAGGGTTTCTGAGGCTATAAATCTTTATGGAAACAGAAAGCCTCATCTTTCTCCTGTGGAACACCTAGTAGTTTTGAACTGCTGATCTCAAGGTTAGCAGCCCAACCCATACCACTATGCTACCAGATCTGGAAGGAAGAGGACTAGATAATTCCATCTATTTCTATTAGTTTCTTCTTTTCCATTTGATTGTAAACTCCTTAAAGCTTGTGTATGTTGACTAGATGTAACTCAGAGACCTCCATGTTTGATAGAAAAATATGCAAAACTTCACTGCTGATCCAGCTGTTAATTCCAGAAACCCTTTTAATATTAAGAAAGGATAATCTTGCTCATTTTATTATCAATATACATTTCAATTAGCAAGTTAGGGTTATGTCATATATATGATCTTGACAACTTACTTCATCTCTTCAAACTACAACCTCTTCATCTCCAAAAGAAAAAAATGCCTCATCAGGTGACTGTGAGGATGAAAGAAGCTAACGTTTATCCCTATTTCATAGCTGTTCTATGATTTTGAAGACATCAGAATCCCTTACATAATAAATGTAGACATTAAATGTATATTCATTTTATGAAACTTTGAGCAGAGCTTTTTTTTTTTTCCTATTTTGAAAAATTGAAGAGGTCCAAGAGCTGAACAGAAAATTTCAAAGATCAGCTCGAGAAGAAAAAGCCAAATACTATAATAAAGTATGCAAAGATTTAGAGTTAGAAAACCAAAAGGGAAGAACACGGTCAGCATTTCTCAAGCTGGGGGCACTGAAGAAAAAATTCAAGCCTCGACTTTCATTATTGAAAGATTCTCTGGGCAAATTGTTGAATGATGCAGAGGGCATCAAGGAAAGATGGAAGGA